CAACCAAATTTCGCAGCTTCTATCATTGGCTCGCTCTCTGTTAAATTTAAACCTGATGGGAAATAATTTATCTCCAGAGCTCTTTGAAGCGATGTAAAACAACTCCCACTCATTAGTGTGTGTTTGCTGGCCAAGGACAGCTGCTCTGGAAACAGGAAATGTCAGCGCAGAGATAGAGACGCCAGCGTGTGTTGCTGTTCAAAAATCTTTCCTTGAATTTATTTAGACGGTTATGTATGCAGAGGGTAAAAATTAAATAATCTTTAAAAAGTATTTTATTTATTTACTTTTAGAGGGAGGGGGAGGGAGGGAGGAAGAGGGAGAGACACATTGATTGGCTGCCTTTTGCACGCCCTCAGCCCGCAACCCAGGCATCTGCTCTGACCAGGAATCGAACCGGTGACCTTTCACTTTACAGGGTGACTGACACCCAATCTACTGAGCCACACCAGTCAGGGCAAAAATTAAGTCTTAAGGGCTGTATAGTAAAAAGTAGTTCTCCCTCCTGGGAAGTTATGATAACTATGTTTCTTTTTATTCTTCTAAATACATTCATCGGATGTCGTTTTTGGTCAATGTGCTTTAACTAAGATCCTCCCAATCTAAGAAGGGATGTCAGTCACTCTGCCTCAGTGTAAGAAGGTTCAAGAGACGGGGCAAGGTTGCTGCACTGACCCCTCAGGTGTCAACATTAAAGACCCCAAGTCATGAAACTTGACCAAGCCTGGCTACATAATTTGTGTGGGGGGGGGGCAGTGCAAAGTAAAAACCCAGGCCTGTAGGAAGCAGAGCCCTGAACCAGACAGGGGGCCCTTCCACGCAGAGGAGCCTGTGCAAATGCACAGTTTGCACGCCTGTGAAGAAGCCAGCCTGCCCACCCTGCCCTCAGCTTGTGTGTTCACCCTGATGGCACTGAATCCAACGCCAGTGTCAAGGCGCCATGGCGCCCTGCCACCTGTGACTTAGAGCTGTCGTCCGGGCCATCTCCCTCAGGGGGGAAGAGTGGGTTAAGTGGGGAGTTGGAAACATCAGTGATCCCCAAACTCAGAGCTGACCGGGTGACAGCTAATTGGCTTCTTCCTGGTGGAGCATTTGGTGGGGGGAGGAAGTCAGACTGGTGTAGTGGGGAGCATAAAAACCGATGCTTTGGTTAAATGGGGAGAGGGTTTGGTGAGGAGGGGATTGCAGCTAAAGAGACAGTGGGCGTTCAGGCCTACAACAGAGATCTTAGGGCATGTCCTCCAAGGGGAAGAGAAGGGGGCTTGGCACGGTGGGCTGGGTGTTGCGTGTTTGCAGCCCTGGAGCAGGCGGGAACAAATAGTTAACACTTACAGAATGCCCTATTGTAAGGTACATATGTTAACATATTTAACCTTCACTACAATCCTAAGAGGTGAGCAATCCGATTAATCCCATTGAACAGGTGCAGGGACCTCCCTCGAGCTCACACAGCTTGTAGGTATTAGAGCCGGGAATCCAACCTACTGGGCGCACAGCCCAGAAGGGGCCTGTCCCGGAGCTTTGGAAAGGACTTCACTGGTGTTGTGAATAACCCTTTCCAGTGTGTTGAACATACAATTGATCATATCAGTTGTCATTTATTTAGTGCCCAGTACAGGCCCAGACATGTGCCCGGCACCATCTGCCACGCGACGCCAAACACCATTTTACAGGCGAGAGACTGGGCCCCAGAGACCCCGCCTGCCTCCGCTCCCTCTCTGGGAAGAATCGGTCAAGAGTCGGTGAGGATTCTTGCGTGGCAGGCTCCTCCCCCTCCGTTGTCTCATCAGCTCTGTGTTCACACAGAGTATGCCTTGAACGCTTCTTTCTGCTGGTTCAGAGTGTCTTGAATCGTGTCCTGACGCGTTGGGTGGCTACGCTGACTTTGCTCCTTCCCACAGGACGTCCGAGACAAATGAAGAACTCTACCTGTGCCCCTGCCGACTGCCCCCCTCACACTGTCGTTTCTGTTTGGGGCAGACAAACATGGCAATTCCACTGCCTGTTGAATGCAAGCTTCTCAGGCTCTTTTTTGTTTTTTTCCTTGCCAGCATTTTCCTACCGTCTTGTTGGCTGGGGGAGTTCAGCGAACAATGGGGCGTGATTAATCCGATGTCTGTCCCTGGAAGTTCAAGGCAGGGGAGGTGGAACCTTCTAATGAAAACAACTAGTGTCCCAGGTTCGATTCCCAGCCAGGGTACATTCCTGGGTTGCAGGCCAGAACCCCCAGCAACCGCACATTGATCTCTCTCTCTCTCTCTCTCTCTCATCTCCCTCCCTTCGCTCTCTAAAAATAAATAAAATTAAAAAAAAAAAAGAAAACAACTGAGCAGAACACATAGAACAGCTGAGGAGGGAGAAGATAAAGCTTTGGTGGGGGCTTAGGATGCTGTCCTCGTGGGCAAGGTCATTTTAAAGTCTTACTTTTCTTAAAAATGTTATTTATTGATTTTTAGAGAGAGAGAGAGAGAGAGAAACATCAATATGTTGTTCTACTTATCTATACATGCACTGGTTGATTCTTGTGTTTGCCCTGACCGAGGATCGAACCCACGACCTTGGTGTATCGGGGTGATGCTCTAACCAACTGAGCTACCCGACCAGGGCTGTCCAAGATTTCTTAAAAGGAAGATTCAGAGGCTTTGTTGACAAAGTTTCTGGGCAGTCCGTGTTGTCAAGACAACAAGATCTGTTTGCGTAGAAATAGGTTTTCCTGGTGTTCTTGGAGAAAACGCAGAAAGCAAAGCCAATTCCCGCTTTTCATGTCGCTGAGAACGCCATGGTCTGAGTGGGGTGGTTTCCACCACAGGAGGGGCTGGACGCGGGGAAGGCCTGTTGTGATGTCCTCTGCTTTGTTCTAATTCACCTTCATCAGAAAAGCAGGTGGCTGGCGGGGTGTTTAGCTCTGCGCCAAGTGCAGTAATCGTGAACACCTTCCAGTGCTATGTGCCCGGCACTGAGCTGTTATTATCATCTCAACACAAACAATGGAATTCAAACCCCAAGACCCGCCTGTGCACTGGGTTTATCATCCCTACTGGACAGCTGATGAAACCAGAGTCACTCGTCCAAGGCCGCAGAGCTGAGAACTCTCAAAGCTGGGATTTGAACTAGGTCTGCCCGGCCCCACAGCCACTGCTTTCAGCCTCGGAGCCGAAGGTAAACAGATGAATCAGCCATGGTACCTCGCTCCGCTCCAGGAATTTACAGCTCCGTGGGCAGGTCAGAACGCATGCGTGGAAAGAACAAGGAAGGCGGGGTGGCGCAGCGTGGAGGAAAGAGGACGCCCAGTTCCTGCCAGAGACCAGACAGGGGACAAAGCAAGGGGCCCCGGGTCACAGCACATCAGGAAGCGCCCCCAGAAAGAAGTGGATTTGGGGCTCGCGTTTAGGTCTGAACGGGCTCCTTCTTACCGTTCTCACGATTGGCTTTTAACTTCACACAGCTGTGCGTAGAGCTATCTGGATTTCTGCCTGTTAGCTCGAGTCCTCAGAGAATATGGGCAATTCGGTACCGTGATGTGAACGTATAGGCTTGTGTATTTTAACACGGAACAGGAGAAGACGTCAACCGATGTCTGTTTCGGCTTCTTAAGAAAAGCAGGGCTTGCCAAGTGAACTCTGGTCGGCGGGCCGAATCTGGCACGTGACCTGGTTTTATACGGCCTGTTAGCTCAGACTGGCTTACACATCTTCTCTGGCTGAAGAAACATCAGAACAACAACACTCTGTGATCTGAACATTATGTGCAAACCAACTTCCGGCGTTGTAAATAAAGTTTTATTGGGACACAGCCACGCCCACTGGTCTACTTTTGTCTGCGGCTGCGCAGTCGTTGCCAACCAACACCGTATGGTCTGCAAAAGCCTAAAATATGGGCTCTCTGGCCCTTGACAGAAAAAGTTTGCTGACCGCGCCCCCCAACCCCGCCGTCACAAAATCAGACGCGTTCAGGACGTTCTCTATCAACCTCAATACATATTTTGGGGAGGAAAATAGAAAAAAAAAAACAGCGCCATTAGAAAAATCCACCATTCAGAATTGACAGTTAACATTTTACCATCATTTGCTTCAAATCCTTTCATAAGTCAAGGGCATACAACTGGACGACGCTCGTCAGCCGACTAGAACACGCTTCATTCACCCCGTCGGTTCCCAGGTCCTGACCGTTCCCCGCAGGGGCGCGCGCCGCGGAGCGTCCGGAGGGCTGGGCGGTGCGAGAGCGCCCCCCGCCGCCGGGAAGCACCCGAGGCGCTGAGCGGGAGCGCGCTGGAGACCCACCCGGCCGACCCGAGGACTTGGGACCTCTCGTTCCTCTGGCTCTTGACTCCCGTCTCGGCTCTTGATTGGCCTTCTGGCTGCTCGGCAGCGTCCGTGAGCCACCCGGGACCTCTCGGTTCGAGGCGGGCAGGCCTGGCGGCCTTTGAGGTCTCCTGTCCCCTCTGCGGCCCCAACCCCCCCCCCCCCCGCCGCGCTGACACCCCCGCCGGGACACTAAACACGCGCTTAAGGCTCCGGCCGAGTAGGGGTAGCATGTTTGGTGAGGATATGATGTTCTCCATGCAAAGCATCGGAGTCGTTTTCGGGAAAAGCCAGACTTCATTGGGCTTCGTTTAGTTTGGTGCCTCCCTGTGGAATGGGGGTGGGGAAGGTACACGGTTCCCCAGCACTGAGGGCGGGCCCCGGGCGGTGGTCAGGTGGGTGCGGACGGGGGATCCCCCGAAGGGGTGTCCCGCAGCCTTGGGGAACTTTCCGGGACTCGGCCGCCGCCCTGCCCTTCCTTCCCCTGTTTCGCGGAACAAAGCTAAGCCAGCCCGCCGAAGGGTGCCGCGGCCGCCGCGGGGAGAACCCGGGCAGGTGCGCGCGGCGGGCGGGGGCGAAGTTGCCGCGCAGCCCCCGCGCCCGGCCCCCGGCGGTTCCCTCCACCCACTCCCGGCCCGGCCGCGCCCCCACGCACCCCGCGCCGCCTCCTCCCCTTTCTTCTCCTTTCTCTCCGCCTCGCCGTTACTTTGGCCTCCGCGGGCTCCCGCCTCTCCGCCCTCCCCGGCGCCCGGCCAAGCGGCGGGGACGCGCCGAGCGACGCGCGGCGGACGCGGGCGGGGCCGGCTCTGCGCCCGGGTTTCAGCGGCCCCGGCCAATCGCCGCGCAGCCCGCGGCGGCGTCGCGCCCGAGCCCGGGCCCGGGCGGCACCTCCGGCCCCCGCCCCCCGCGCGCCCGCCGGGGCCGAGCCGAGCGGAGCGGAGCCGAGCCGAGCTGGGGGCACACAGCGCGGGAGGCGGCGGCGTGCAGCCCAGGTGAGCTGGCGGGAGCCCGGTCGCGGGCTGGGGACGCAGCCACTGCATCCCCGGCGCCCTCCGCCTCTCCCGGCGGGGGAACCACTGCCGCGTTTGCAGACAAAGCCCTGAGGCGGGTCCTGGGCTCCCTCCGCCGAGGGGACCCCACGTGCGCCGCCCCGCGCCCCGCCACGTGGGGGCGAGGTCCCTGGCGCCCCTTCCTCCGCATCCTCTGCGCTCCGGGGCCTGGGGTGGCCTCTCGGCGGGACCGCGCCCGCCCGGGGTGGCAGGGGCGGTCCCGGAGTTTGGAACCCAGGTCACCGGGGGCCGGGGCAGCCCAGCATTTTGGGAGGCGGCCTAGGCCCACCCCCTCGCGTGTGACAGGTGGGGGGAGCTGGAGCACGCAGGGGAGGAGAGGGCCCACGGACTCGGGGCACCCCACCCCCGCCCCCCTCTGGTCTTGGGGGCAAACGCAGGCCCTGGGAGGTTGGACACCAGGCGGCAGGACCCTAGGCCAGCCCCTGTGGGGCCGGGGACCGTTGCCTCTCCTCAGTCGGCTACTGGCCCCCGGCCCCCGCCGCCCCCAGCCCCCGAGTCTTTCTGCCAGAACAGCACAGGCTCGGTCCTCTTGACCTAAATTCACCCCGGGGCCGCAGCAGGCTCGCCGTGCCTGCAGAGACGCGGGGATGCTGGGCCCAGCCCCTCTCAGCATTGGGTCTTGGTGCCTGGGGTGCCTCCCGCTCCCGCCTTGAGCTTTTTCTGGCTCCCCACCCCCTGCACTGCCCAGTTTGGGAAGTAGGTGTTTCCACAGCTCTGCCAGCCATCCTGGCGGCTCTCTCGGGGTGCCGAAGACGGTGCACCTCAGCCCCTCCGACCACTTCCCCCTAGAAAGTTGGGGCAGGGGGATGGCGTTGGGAGGGGCCGGAAACAGCGTTGTCCGCAAGAGAGGGGCGTGCTGGCCTCGGGGTGGGACCTGCAGGGTCCACCTGCTCGGAGGCAACTTTTGCCTTCCTCAGCCCCATAGTCCCCTCGGCCCTAGGGACGGAAACTCCACGTGCCCTGGAGCTGTGCGGTCGCTGACTGCGCCCCTCTCCTGGCTCTTTGTCCCTATAGGCATCCTTGTTGGGGGGGGGGGGCAGGGGCCACAGGAAGAGGAGGGCTTGGGGGGAGTTAAACCCCTCCTCCCCTCAAACATGCAGTTTAGGAACAAACGGTGCATACACATACGCTATGCAAATGCAGCTTCTGGGTGAGCCTGGACCCTGCGTTTAGGTTGCTGCTCGCAAACCCTTCCTAGGTACAAAGCAGCCATTTGTAGTGAGAGTTTTTGTTTTTTAAAACAAACACCAGCCACCATTTGATGAGCTCTTAAGTGCTGTGCTGTGGGTTGTTTGCACTATCTCATTTCATGCCTGGACATATCCTACGAGGCTGTGATTTTTATCCCCATTCTCCAGACGAGGAGATTGAGGCTTCAGATAATCCCCACAGTGTTGCTAGGAGTTGGCTCCATTTATGGACGGGCTCGGAGAGGTTAAATCACTTGCCCAGGGTCACACAGCCAACCCAGGTGCGTCAGGTCCTTGAGCCTTCGCAGGTTGCCACTGGTTCTAGACCTGGGACCCGTGCAGCCTCTTGAGGAGTCCAGATTTGTTTGCTGAACCTGGAGGCCACAGATGCAGGCGGACACGGTGTGATGCGGGCTGGCCGAGGCTTGTCTTTGCTCCCAGGTGGCTGATGGTCTGGGAGCCAAATATACTTACTGATAACTGTGCCGTAGCTCTCATCAGGGGCAGCCCCACCTCCTGGGGAGTGTTTGGAAAAGTGTGGGGGCGACTTTGGTTGTCAAAATGATGCTGAGCTCTCCTGGCTTTGGGTGGGCGGGAGCCGGGGGATGCCAGATGTCCTGCAAGCCGGCCAGGTCTTCAGCAGACGCGGTGAAGCCCTGCCCGGCCCTCGATGCCAGGAGGGGCCCCGTTGAGAAACTCCCGGAGGAATGAGTGCTGTGGGAATGAAGGGAGCAGTGAGCAGGGAGGCTGCCTAGTGTCGGTCTGGGAGGCTCCCTGGAGGAGGTGTTATTTGTGCTGAGCCTTGAAGGGTGGGCCAAAAAGTGGGGTTTGGATGGGAGGAGAAAGGGAGGGAGACAGGACGGGATGGCCTGGTAGGGGACATTCCTGCAGTCTCCTGGAGAACTTCAGCTCTCCCAGGAGGAAGGGATGGGCCAGGTGGGGTGGGTCAAGCCTGCCTTCGACGCATTTGGGCTCAGATTTTATGTGTTTATTTTTAGAGAGAGGGGAAGGGAGAGAGAAAGAGAGGGAGAGAAACATCACTTGGTTGTTTCTCATCCATGCCCTGGCTGGGGACCAAATCCACCACCCAGGCATGTGCCCTGACCAGGAATCGAACTAGCCTTTGTGGGGCAGTGCCCAGCCCACTGACCCACACCAGCCAGGGGAGGGCTCAGATTTTAACGCCGACCACAGAGTCACCCTCATTCTGCCTTGAATTCATTTGATGGAAGGGCTCAGAGAAGCGCAGTAATGTGTGCAGGGTCCCTGGGGACCGTCTCCCTGGCGCGCCGCCTGCTCGTGGCTGTGGGTGGCGTGTGGTTCCCGTTTCCTGTCCCGATCCCAGAGGTTTGGGGCGAACGCCATTGGAGATTTTCCTGTGGGTCAGAGGGCCTTGGGTTGCTATTTTTCGCAGATGTTTTGCTTTTCCTAATAGCTCCTCTCTCTGGGCTGGGCTGGCGAGCTGGGCTCCACTGTGCCTGCGCTCCTGTGAACAGTCCCTACGGAGCGGACTTTTCTCCGTCCGGGCTGGGCGGCTGCCCCTGCTGACCTGTCAGTGATAGGGGACCGTTGGTGTCTGGCTCCTCTGTGTGTTTTGCTTCTCCATTCATTACTGGACACTTGGGTTGTTTCCACCGTGAGGGCTTAAGGCTACTTGATTCCTTTGCTTCTGCAGCCCCGCAATTAATAAACCGCTGGGCATAAGACATTATTTTAAACATTTGTTTTTAATATTTTTTAAAATTTATTGATTTGAGAGAGAGAGAGAGAAATATTGATTTGTTGTTCCATGTATTTATGTGTTCATTGGTTGATTCTTGTTTGTGCCCTGACCGGGGATTGAACCTGTAACCTTGATGGACCAGAATGATGCTCTCACCAGCTGAGCCACCCGGCCAGGGCAGGATGTCGTATTGTCACTCCATTTGCAGGGAGAGGGTGATGGAAGAAAGATTCTCTGAAATCGACTGGGGACCAGCTTCCCGGAGTGAGGTGTTCGGGACCACCCTAACTTCACCCCCCTCCTCTCCAGGAGTCCTCACGGTTCGAAGCCCTCCGCCCCCAGGGTGATGCCCAGGGGTTCCACAAGTGTGATTTTCGGGGAGTTTTGGTTTCATCGAGGTCATTCCAGTCACCCATGATTTGTTCCCTGTAGGTCCCCATGTGATTTCACTGGTGTGTATTTGGTAACCCTTTTCCAGGTGCATTTTCAGTACACGAAGTAAAGAAAGTCTCCCTGGGTGGGTCATGCCCTCACCCTGCGGCCAGGCGTGGAGTCAGCTCAGTCTCTCCCAGTGTCCACTGGAGCAACTGGGCATCCTGAAAACCAAGCTGGCGGGAAGCTGAGAAGGGACCAGCCCCCGGAAAGACAGCTGGGGTCTTTCCGGAGCCTGGACGGTGAGCCAGGCCGTGTGCCTGGCGCGTTCGTACAGAAGGTCCACTCCATAGCCGCCCACACGGGGTGGGGGGCTGTGGTGGCTCCATTTTACAGATGAGAACATCAAGGCCCAGGGCCCCCTGGATCTGTGTGGCTTCTCGACAGGGCTCTCTCGTGTCCCCTAGCCTCCTCCTGCTGGCCAGGGAGACCGCTTTTCTCAGAGTGGACGCCACCACCTCCAGGAGGTTGTGCGTGGAAATAATTTCTGAATGGTTTTGCTCTCTGAAAAAATAAGAGTTTGAATGAGTATTTTTTCCATCTTCCCTGATTGGATTCCTTCCTGAACAAAACAGGGGTGGGAGTGGGGGGAGGCAGGAGTGGGGTGGGCGGAGGCGTGGGGGGGAGGAAGGAGGCCAATGCGGTGAGGCTGGGCAGGGAAGACCCACCCCCTGCTCTGGCATTCCCTGCTGGGTGATGTTAGTGACCAAAATGGGGAAGGAATGATTTTAGCCAGTGTTGTTGGTTTCAACTGTGTTTGTAGTGTTGCTGCTGATTTTTTTTTCAATTATGAAACATTTTAAGCGTAGAGAAAAGCCAAAGTTTTGCATTGTTGACTGGCTCGTGTGTTGGGAAGGCTGGAGGGAGGCCCGGGAGGTGGTGGGAAGGGGGCAGAGCCGGGCGCTGGATCTCAGCCCCGGGGAACTCCCCCAGAACCCACACTTTTGGGGGCTGGTGACAGGCTCCGCCCTGGGAAGTGAGGAATGCGGGGGCTCGGTCCCTGTCTCCCAGGAGCTCCCAGGTGAGTGGTCTGTGAACGGTTGGGGACTGCTTCGGAGAAGATAAACGATCCCCTTTTGAAAGGAGAGAAAGAAAATTCCGAGAGCCTGTGGTGCTCCCACCCCCACCCCATCCTGAAACTATTTTTATGTTGTCTCTCTTTCTCCTGTTGGTTTCTGTAAATAGTCCATGGGTGGCAGTGGGAGAGAGAGAAATGCTGATCACAACTTGGAGGGGAGAGAGGGATGCCCCCCCCCAAGGAAGTGGGAGGGGGGCACTGGGAGGCCGAGGTCTTCGCAGCTGAGACACAAGGTAGGGAGTGAGTGGGAGGGGGGCCCTGTGGGGTACCCTCTGTGGGAGGAGTTTAAGGGGGAACCAGAGGTTTGAGTGGGGGGGGCAGGGTAGGGAGGGGAAAGGCACTTATCCCCCTTAGGCCTTCCCAGAGGTACTCTGGGATTTCGCCTTCAGTGCCTCCAGTGGAGAGAGATTTTATTTCCTTCCATTACAGACAGTTCTCCCACATTCTGGGTCCAGGTGTGGGGGGCAGGGCTGGACCCCACCCCGCCCCAGCTGCTCCC